GGTGCGCCCGGGGCGGCAGCGGGGTGCGGTGCGGCGCGGCCGGCCGAAATCAGACCGGGGGGTCCCGGCGGGCGGGTAGAAATGTTGTTTCCCTAATAATTTGGTCTGCGGCCAACAGCTCCTTCGTGCGGTGCCGTCATTTTGCGGGGCTGGGCTGGCACAGCCAGAGGGAAATGCGGGGTCGTGGGGAAGTAATTCGGTCTGGGCTTGGTTTGCTCTGCTTTTCGCTCGGTTGCAAATAATGTGCAGAAGGATCCCAGGCTTTCTCGTCACCTCGAACCGTGCCGTTATCTTCAGTAAAGCTTTTGGGGTGTGGGTCGGTCAAATGCAGCCTGCGGGAGCCAAATGTCTTGTCGGGTTTTGTAATCCCCGTAGTCACTTGTTATTACTGTAGTTCCCTGATGATTTTTTTTTTTCTAACTACCGAGCTCTACCAGCACGTGTTTTAAAAAATAATTTAGAAAAGTACGTGTAAAATGTGCAATTTGAAGTTTAAAATTTTAAACTGTTGAAAGTTATTTATTTCTGGTCTACGGCAAAACCTTACATTTTAAAGTTGCGTTTTGTCAACACTTAAGTGAAGAAAGGAAAGTTTAGTTTTGAAAATTCCTCTCAGTAATATCGTGAGCAGGCGTAAAAGAGCATGCATCTAAAATATGTGAGAATATTAACAGAAATATTTTCTGCAATACTTCCCTAACACTAGTATGGATCCCATTAAAAAAAAAAAAATCCACCTTTCTAAGGAGTTATGTACATTAGGTACAACTGTTTTCTGAAACCGTTGTGTACTTTTAACTAACAGGCAAAAAGTACATTTCTCCTTTTTCCATTTTATCTTTTTTTTTTCTTTTTGCTTCCAAAAAATCGTTCTGATTTCAAGCTGCAATTCCTGTGCATATTAGAGAGACACAGGCTTTAACTTCTGTCATGCTGAAGCAGAACTCAATAGATGCTTTAATTTTTTTTCAGGTGGTTTAAATATAATTCCTAATTTTAGCAGCTTTTCAGAAGCTCCCTTATTTCTGTTCTCCATCCATGTATTTATTTTCCGATTTGCCTTTATTTCAGGAGAATGTTTCCTACGATCAGGGTTTCCTTCTCGGGAGTGGATCCTGAAGCCAAGTACATTGTGTTAATGGATATAGTTCCTGTGGACAATAAAAGATATAGATATGCCTACCACAGGTCTTCCTGGTTAGTGGCTGGAAAAGCTGATCCTCCTCTCCCTGCAAGGTTTGTAGATTTTACTGCTTTTCTTTCTTTTATTTTCTTTGCTTTTTATTTTCCTTTCTTTCAAGAAACACTCGCTATTAATCTTTTCACGCTGTTAGCAAAGAGTGCTCTGAGACTTCGAGTCTGTGCTCAACAAAGTTGATTGCAAAACTCTGATTTTCTGTGATGCAGAATCGGGCCTCAAATCTCTGCTTGAGGCTCGATTTATATTGAATGTTCCAAGGCATGCAGGATTTGGCTAAAGGCTCTTTTATGTGTGTGTGTGTGTATATATATATATATATAAATTTTAAATGAAGTTTGCTTCAATTCAGATAAGAAAGCTTAAAAAAAAAATTTATTTGTCTCTTGGGTTTGCCCCCCACCCCCCAGTATTTGACCTCATAATTTAAAGCAATCCAAGCACCAACAGCCAAGTCAAAGTAGACATACTGCATTACAGTTCAGTGCTGTTTATGCTTGAAATTATATTATTTCTTGATAACATATCCAGCGTTAGCTAACCAATAATTTTATTCTTGCTTTTAGTCATCTCTTAGACAGCAGGCAAAGTATCGATCAGTTCTACAGCACAGAGATTTTTTTTTTTTGGTTAAGAAATCATGAGATTTTCTGAGACGTTAGGAAAAAATCAAGTAAATTCCCCCCCTTTTCTATACAGAAACAAAATGCTGTAGAAAACTAATTTCTAAAATCATTCTGTTAATGTAATTAATGACTGACTCAGCATCAGGAAACTGGGGCTACAGCACTAGGCTGTACGGTAGGAGGGCATTTCGGCGGAGACCCACGCTTCATCGTATTCAGCCCAGCACTTCAGTGCCTACTTAAGTCCCCAAGCCCAGTAAGACCGAAGCACATGCCGAACGGCTTTGCTGAGTCAGAGCCGGAGATATGGAAATAACGTGGATGCCTCTCTGGCTTCAGAGAAACTTTTCGTGGAGGGCTCTGTGCAGGCACACGGATCCCCTCCAGGTGGCTTAGCCCGGGGTTAAGAACTTGCTTATTACAGAGTCAGGAATTAGAAGTGAAACGCAAGAAATGGAAGCACATTTTTTGTGTGTGTGAGTATAGGGACCAAAACCTGCACGCTTTTCTCATATAAATAGTTCGACTGAAATCGTGCTGACTGCTGATCTCTGGAAGGCGGCTCAGGGAAGTAAACAAACAAAAAGCGCATGCAGAGAAGCTGTGATTAAAGACAGCAACCTAAGAGTTATGTTGGCTTTGTTTTCATGGCCAAAAACTCCTTCTTGCAATGTGGTTAACGTCTGAGGGCTTCATTTGACGTATTGTAATGGGCACTGATCAAAACCCAAAGAAAAAACACGGATCCTGCTCCAAAAGAGTCAGCACCAAAAGAAGAAATAAGGGAAGGACAGAAATAGTTTTAAGGCAGGGTTGTCCCCTTCTTATTTTTCTGTTCAAGTGCCTTTCGGGATACCTTTAACTAGACAGCTAATTCACATTATCTGGCATAGACTAGTTCAATGAGAAAATACAAGAGTGTAAGACAAGAGGTTGATCCTTGGAATAATTAGCAACTGCCCTACTGACTGTTTTAGAGTTTAATATTTATTATCATCGTACTGTGGTAGTTCTTTAAGGTCCTCATCGAGGCAGTGCCCCTATGTGCAAATGTATACCTGTGCTGTTTCATTTTCAGGATGTTTTCAGGGTGTTTTGCCCCTGTGTGCAAACACGTACCTTTCATTTTCAGGATGCTTAGCCAAAAGACCATTGATCGTAGCACAGGCACAGATTACTTTTTCTTTGTATGCACAGTACTTGCGTATACATTTATGCACTTTCTGCTTCTTTTGCTCCCGTTCGGTGAGAAAAAAAGATGTCAAGAGGTTCAGCGTGCCGATGTTTGCATCACTAGTGCTTTTTCTGGAGTGTTAATGCATCTTTTGAGGTGGGAAGCCTCAGTCTTGCTCAAACAGATTAAAAGTAGTACTCCTCCCATCGCGAAACGGGGTTAGTCCTGCCCTAGTAACAGGAGCCCTTAATGAAGTTATCACTCGTGATTTCTTGTCCCCCAAACACGTGGTTTTAGCTCTCCTTGCTTGAGGAGTGTCAGGGAGGAGCGCAGGCGTGGTTAGCGTCTGGGCGCTAGTACCAAGGGGCGAACTCCCCACGCACATCACTGCCTGCATCTGCACAGGCACAATGGCATCAGGGGCATTATTCAGGAGTGACGTCATGCATGGGTCTAAGACTTTGCAGGATCGAACCCAGTAGGTGTTTTGCTCTTTCCGTCATAAAAATAACTTTCAATGCTAAGACAGGTTTTTTTCAAGACGAATAAGTATTCTGTGATTCTGTTTGAAAGATTAACCCTTCGGGGAACTTTCTACAAAAAACAGTTTTATCCTGCTGTCAGAGTTTAAGACGAGTTTATGTTGCAATGAACACTTAAATAAAAATACTTCTCAGAGTCTTTTGTAAATCTTCTAAAGTGCTATCTGGGGATAGAATTCCTATGCGATATTTTATGTTTGTCCTTACAAATTGCTAAGACTGTGTGAAACATCAGTTTAATAAGTTTCAGCATGTACCTTTATTCGCTCTTCTTCCTTTTTCATCTCCTTTCTTTCACTCAAAAGTCTATCTTTTTTTTTTTAAATTTTTTTTACTGTATTTGGCCACAATCATTTGTTTAACGAAGTTATAGTGTTTACAGAGAACTCTAGGTAGGAAACCTTTAAAAGGTATTATATTTTGCAAATTATTTGAGACATTAAGGTAATTAAAAGCGGCATGCACAGGGCTTGTAGGACCAGACCAACTGTTAAACTAAATAGAAGGAGAGCGGTGTCACATTCCAAAATATGCAAGAAGGAAGCAATACCCAAACCTTGCATATATCATGAAACATTATACACTGTGGAGCAAAGTCACATCCAAATATGGCTCTTAAAGCCTTTGTGAATTGAAGCGAGCAGCCCCTCGCATCTGGCCAGCCTTAGACAGCAGAGCCCGCGCAAACTTCTGGGGGAGCCTCGTGTGCTGCGCTGGAATGTGCACGTTTATTTCTCTAACCCACTTGCTTGTGCGCGCTCGCGGTCTCGTCAACTACTTCTACTTCGGAGGGTGATATGTCTAGTTTTCAACCCTCTTCTCCAGGGCGTACAAGCTCAGGCTGTAGGATAATTGTGTGGATAGGTGTAGTTCACCAGGTGGAACCATGTGTTGCAGAGGGATCGACGGCGTGTCGCAAACTGGTAAAGAAAAGCAAGGTCTATTAATACATTTATCTAATCGATATTCAGGTGCCCATCCTTCAGTGACTTTGCCATTAGTAGTAGTGCCATTAGTTGCCATTAGTGCGACTACATTGCACTTTGTAGTTTAAAAGCAGTGCCAAGCGCTAACTGGCCATGGTGTAAAACAATTGTGCTCAGCTTTTAGACACATGAAGATCTTTACTCATTCCCTGGCACATATTTGAAATAGTTTGGCTTTTTGGTCCCATTTAGCCAAACCTTGCTGAACCTAACACTCTGTGATCGCAGTAAACATTATTAGCTATCCAGACATTTGAAATTAGGAGTCAGGCTCCAAAAAAAAAAAAAAAAAAAATCACAAGACCGGCTGAAAAGTTGCAGGATGTGTTTGGGACTCTTTTTGTTTTGCTTTCTCTAATTCAGGGCTCTAAAGATTGAGATTTTCAGTTTTTTACAGGGAGGCAAAGTTAATTTTCATGAGAGGTGAAATTCTTTTGACATAACAGGATTCCAGGTCTTGGGTTTTCAGATACATCATAATTTTTCATAAGCCTTGCAGTGCAATCAGCAGAGTCGACAGCAGTGAGGACGCCTGTATGCTAGGAATATTTTATTGCGACAGGAACCCTGGCTCAGCATCCCTCCTGTGGACACAGCTATAGCAGCCAAGCTGTGCTTCGGATCAATGTTAAGGAAAACATCCTGCACATCTGAAGCGAGCTGTGCTGGTAAAACTTTAGTTTCACTGTGTCTTGGGGATTCTGCTGGCAAAAACGGAGAGTGCAAGATCAAATCTCCTTCCTCTTTGAGCAACAGAGCTGTACTCCCCGGCGCCTTTAGTACGGGCATTCCTTGATTAGGGATCAGCGTAGCCTATCAGAGAGTTACGCCCCATCGTTTAGTGGTTTTTCCATTCTCCTTCTGCCTAACCAAAATCGTAGCTCAATGACAACAAAAAATGTTTATCTTTCTAACCCGGCATCTCAGCGCTGCCCCACCCATCTAATGGAAGAAATCCATCCGTGTGGCCAAAGACATCATGCAAAATGAGAGTCAGGCCCTCAGTGAGTGGTAACCAACACTGACAGAAGCAGAACAGGTCTGGTTTGCACTGGCTGAAGGTCTAGTTCAGCTCTTAATTCACTAACACAGAAGAACGTTTGAGTTAAATAATTTTCAGCAATACATTATTCCTATAAAATCATTGTTTTTAAATAGCCTGGCACTTGTAATTAGTCTAGTCATATTGTATATATCATTGTATCTACATGTCTTCTGTGCTTCCTTTTCTTCTGCTTAATTTCCCAAGTGGTGGATTGTTAATTACAGAGCTGCAATTAATTTTTTCATGTCAGACCACTGTGCTGGACTGCAGCCTTCAACCTCTTATAAACAGACGTCACCACAGCTAACGTGTGATCGAGTGCAGGTTAAAATCATTATCACGGCTTAATGTTACATATAAAGAAAAATGCATTTTTATCTACATTCCCCCATTATCTCTCTAATGACACCATGTTTTTTCTCTCGGAGCTGTAGTCATTGTTATTTTAAGTGCTTGTTAGTACAGCTGTGGGGAAAGACATGATCAATTTTTCATTTGGGAAAAGACACAACAGTGAATGTTAGTTAATGTCTCCATTTCAGATAACTAGATAAAATAATAGGTATGGTTAGACAGCAATCTAGCACTTGGAGATGGGATTCTTCATTACATTCCAGTGAATTAAACAACTCAAGTCATCTGCTTTACTGTCTTTCATTAATGGTCGTATTTCAGGCATTCATTAATTTGGGGGAGATTATGTGTGTCTTGTTCAAGTAGCAGCTCCGAGCTCTCAGGAAATCCACATCCCTGAAACCACTGCATATCCCGAAAGCAAGATATTATGGGTGTTGTAATTTCATACGGAAGTGGTGCCCATGCACAAGCCAAGAGGTGAGATTTTTTTTTATGAGCAGGCCTTTTCCCTGTGTTTTTTAGGTTGTACGTGCACCCTGACTCCCCGTTCACGGGAGAGCAACTGCTGAAGCAGATGGTGTCCTTCGAAAAAGTCAAACTCACCAACAACGAGCTGGATCAGCACGGCCATGTGAGTAGCCCTCCTTGTGGGAAAGGGTAAAGGAACCGCCATAGGGGAATTGCTCGCTTGTGCCACAGGGCTAAGCTTGCAGGAGAGAGACTGCGATGGCGAAAGGCTGCTGTGGCCCCGACCTTACACCTCTCTTGGCTAGCCCTTCCTACCACAGGGGAGGAGGACACTGCGTGAAGCTTAAACATGATGGGTTTTAATTTCTGTTGTAGAGGAACAGGTGACTTCAGAAATCAGGTTTTTTACCTTTCATAAGGTAGAGCCCAGGTCAATGCAAGCGTCCAAATTATGCTCCTACCACCGTCAGAGGCAGGACATCCATTGTGGAAAAGTTCAGGGTGGAGTCGAGCATCAAAGTGAGGGAGACGAGGGAGGCAGGTGAGCTTTTTATCGTGCTTCTGCCAGCATTTTGCTGTGACATGGCGGTACGCTCTGCCACATGTACTGGCTAGCAAGCTCACATGCTTTTCCGTGTGTGCTTGGAAGCTCCCTCTCATTACAGGCAACCTGTTAGGGTTGGGCCCATCAATAAGAGCTCTTGTACTTCCAGAGTCAACGCAGCATGGGCGCAGAGTCAGCAGAAAATACCGATGTGACACCAAAGCAAGGGCTATCGAATTAGAAAAATAAATGTGCCTCAGTTGCCCTTGAAATAACTGTAGGCTACCTGAAAGTCAAGGTGCCACAGGGTTGCCTTGGATCACTAAAGAAAACAGGTCCCAGCTCTGATCAGCACCAGTTTGTTGTCACAAGCCCTGAGGCTGGAAGCTGGTAAATAGGATGCAGAGCTGCTGGCCATGGGCTCCTGCTATGCTCCATCAGCGGGGACAACTCCTTTAGCTACCTGACTGTCTAATGGTAGGTGGTAAGAAAAAGTGTCATCCATCCTGTCCCTTCCCTAAAAGTGCCTGTAAAGCGCAGGAACGGCCTGGTAGCGCCTCCAAATTGCAAAGGAAGAGCTAAAAGTGTTGCCTCTGGGCTCGGCAGTTCCCCAGGGGAAGGCTGAAGGAGCAGGGGGATGGATTTGAAAGGGCTGTTGGCTGAGAACAGGGCAGTTAAGAAGAATGAGCGTAAAGGCAGTGTTAGTAAATGAGGTGTTGGGAGGAGAGAAGTGATTTTGAACTCTGAAGCATGTGTAGGGGTGACTAACCTGTAAAGCTGAATAATTGTGGCATATGCGGTGTCAGAAATCCCTCCCCTAGTGTGCTATTTATTGCCTTTTCGGACCGTGTGAGACAGTGGCTGTTTGTTCGAGCTGTGTTCTGTGCAAATGCTTCTCATCCAAAAGATAATTTTTACTCATTTCAAGATCTAAGAATTGAACCACAGCCATGATCATTTAAAATTCATCCTGGAAACAACAACAACAAAAGTAGTTAAAAAGAACCCCAAACAACAAAACAAAAGAAAGCCCAGATAGATGCCTCTGTGTTGTTATCTTTTAAAGATCCGTCTGTGGGTATATTTTTCTTGAATCCGGTTCCCACCGTTGTTCCCTTCCTGACTAGTGGAGAATGTCTCTCTTCTTTTCTCTCTTTTATTTCATAATCTGTAGAAGGGCAAGGCTGAAGATTTGTAGGCTCTATCACCGAGTGATGATAGAGCAGTATACTTGCGCATTTAAAAAGAAGCATTTTTCATCATAACAGGGGCCATGTGTGCCTCTAATAAAGGGCTCGCAGCAGTATATTGCAAACTAGTTAGGAACAGTGCAGTTCCCAGAAGCCCAGATGAGTATAAAAAAGAAGTAGGTCTGAGAAGCTGTCGGGAACAGAGACATGTGACAGAGCAAGAAGACGTAATTGTCTCACATACAGGCAGTGGGAGAAAATGATCCGTAGCGTTTGAGATGTGGCCTCCTGATTAACTTTCCAAGAAGCAGCAGAGGTGGATCCCAATTCTTTATGTGAAGGCTTTGGACAGCTGAAGTCGATGGAAAGTTTTGCATGTTCAGTTAAGAATAAGCCCCGAAGGCTTGATCCCGTGTTGAGATTTGCGTGACAGGTGTTACGCCTTCACGGAGCACTCCCTTTTTAATATTTTGTGGTTTTTATGTTCCAAATCAGGGTGTCAGGTTTTACGTGCTACCTTACTGAAGCTATGTAAATACCATCATTGGATGCTCAGTAGAATTAAGGAAGAAATTAATTCTCTGGAGCCTTTAAGGCTCACTGTGCTATGGCCAATAGCATTTCTGAGCTCCCATGTACTAAGAGAAGGGGAGAATTGAAATGCCTCCTGAAACCCCTCCCTTCAGTTTGAAAGAGCCCTTCTTCACTGACGAGATCTTTTTAATTGACCTGCTAAAATCTTAATTATGTTGGCTAAGGTGTGTTGGTTCCTGAGGAAGTTCTAATGAACTAAAAGATGCCTTTAAATACTAGTTATAGGTAGAGAAGCTGGATCCAACCTGATTCCAGTTTGTTCTAGTTGCTTGCTTTCTCCATCCTCCAGAAGACAGTTTTGGTTGGTTGTCAAGGTAATTGTGGTGGTTTATTTGTAGGATGGTTCATTTCCTGAAAAGGAATCTGAAGAGAAGAGAAGCACTTTTTTGTTCTAGCATTTGTTTGTTTTCTCTTATTGCAAGACTTCTGGAGTTGGCAAGCATCTCTGCTTGTGTATCTTCAGCAGCGTGCATAACCCCACAGCTATGTACATATTCTCCCCAAGCATCAGGCAGAAGTCTTATCTCTGTGTGCACGACATACAGCTTGCTCCATGGAAACACTTTCAGATATCCTCACCAGAGGAAGGAAATGGCTCCTGTCTCTGGATTTTTAGAGTCAAGCGAGTAATTCCCATTTTTCTGGCTGTGGAACACTTATGAACATGATTTTTTTTTTCTCTCCTGGATTTCTGGTGATGTTTTTCACACAGACTCCTTCTTTTAGGACTTTTGGTTGCACTTAGTTGGGGTGCCATCATTTCTGGTTTGTGGTGAGGTGAGCCTTGAGTGTATACATTATCGTAATTGCTTTTCTGGCGTTTATGATAGCAAAACTTAAACACATGAATGTTTGCAAAAGCAAACACAAAGGTGTGAACATGGCCAACAAGTAACTGTGAAAGCGGGGGTTTCAGAATAGCCACAGGGAGCTATGCCCAGGTGTTTTTTTTTTTTTTAAAGTCAACCTGGGAGAAGTTAGGAACCTCCGTGCTTTTAGAAAGCAGACTTTGCCTGGTAACACTCTTTGGTGAATGTGGAAGCCACATTCACAGCGTAGCTCCTGAATTCAAAGTCACCTCGGGGATTTCACAGCTGGCATCCAGATTGCCTCTGGTGACTGGTCTGTAGCCAGTGGGAGCCAGATGCCTACAAACCTGCCTGACCTTACAGCAAGCAGGATCCTGTAAGGACAGATCCTGGTCATCTCCCCTGCTGCAGGCTGTCAGCACGAAGGCAGATGGGATGGCTGGGGGCCCGTGACCATGCTGTACTGCTAGTAAGCGTGTGCTGCTGTAAGTATATATGCACCTGATGTTTCTCTTGGGGCACACCAGCGTGAGAATCGCATCAGGGATTTTCTGATAGCTGCAGGTAGGGGTCTGCTTGGACTTTGAGACCACCCTTGGGGGCTACTCTGTGAGATGCACCCTGTGTATCTAACTCCTTTAGGCTGTTTTGATGGTCCTAACATAAGAAGTTCCACGGATATTGAGGGGTATCTTTGTGCAGTATCCTGCTGACTTTAATATCAGTGAGTATTGCAACATTGGCAGCCTCTGCGAGGATGCAGATGGAGCACTACCTACACAGACCCTCACAAAAAGGAAATAGTGACCTTAACCTTGGCCATGGGTCTTTTGTGACCTCCTGGCTACATTTGGTACTTGTTTTGTACCTGAATGACTCGACTTGCCTCTGGTGGGAGCGCGCGGGTAGAGCATCGTGGCAGGGGATGTTATCCATGTACACTTTTGGTTTTGGAAAACTTTCATAAAGGATTACATGGTCTTGTTTGCGAAATGGAGTTTCTTTATCACAATTTGCATTCACAGAGGAGTGGAAGGAAAGGGCATGTGTGGGAGCTGCTCTGTCACAGCTTTTTCCTCCTTCCACTCGGCTGCTGCTCAGATGTAATGCCTTGGTGTGGATATCGCGGCCATGAAAGGCAATGGGAAGCGCCGAGCTCTGTGGACCAACCCCTCCATAAGCTCATCACCATCCACTCACCGTCCTTTAAAATGTCTTTTCCAGCTGCTTAAAGCAGCCCAAGTGACTAGGCTGGTAAGACAATATTTTACAAAGAGAGGGAAAAGTGCTGAGGATATTATCGGAATGGCCATTGTGTGTGTGCATATATAAAATGGTGAAGTGATTTGAGAAAGGAACCCGAGCTGGTAAAAGCAGACATGCAACATTTTCAGGACAATGGCTCCCCATCACTGTAATGACTTTCTTGTTGCTGTGTGCACCCCCCAAAGTCACAGCGTGAATCATAGCAATATTTGGCCAAGAAGGAGCAGCGAAGAAAACGCTGATGGAAATTTTAGCCGTGACAAAGCTGTGTCTAAGCTCCCCACTCCAATGCAACGTGCAACCTTTCTCACTGACTGGATTAGCATGAAATACTGCACCACTTCTGCTGTGTTTCAGCTGAAGTTAACGCTTCCCAAGGAATGCACATTAGCTATTCCAGATGTACAGAGCTGGCTGTAACATCGTTATGGCCCCTGCAAAATAGAACCACCCACACCATTGCCAATTTTGTCTTGTGACTGTGATTATATCCAAAACAAGGACTGGTGCAAGCTGAGCTCTGTATTTAATTCTTATATTGTAATACTGTGGTTAGAGGCAGCCGAACAGGCCTCCAGCCAGTGGTAACTGAAGCAAGTGGGACTCTCGTTTTGACTTCAGTGAACATTGAAATCGGTTAGTTGGTACAGTAGGTTTAGAATTATTTTGAGAGCTCATAAACAATTATTAATGAGGATAAAATGGCAAAACCTGGTCGTTTTGGAGTTCTGTACTGGTTTCCCTTCTTGCTCTCATTTTTGGTAGTCTGTGGTGAAGAGCATCTACGAAGTAGTTTGCTTTAAAGGTTTGCCACAGTAAAAGGATCTGGGGAGTTTTATTTTTGGTCAGCTGGTTTGTGGTGGTGGTTTTTTGGTTGGGTTTTATCTTTTTCTGGGTTTTTTTGAGGTGTTTCTGCCCGTTCTCATTCTGCACCTGCATATTTTTGCAACTGTGGATTCTCGGTCACGAGCTTTCAAGAGTTACATATTTATATTTGCAGCTGACACCTGCAAACTGGGGCACACGCTAGCAATAACAAATTCTGTATGTAAAACACCTCACCTGTACGAACAGGTATTTATACTTCAAAAAACGTGTGCTCAGCAGTGGCGTAGGAGTGAGAGGAAACCAGCTCCTGAGGCGCCTGCTTTTCCACCTTCATTTTCTGGAACTGCCCAAAGGAGCTGGAGACTTTGCTCTGAATATCAACCCCTGGCTAGTTAGATTTCAGATGTCTCCCCTGCAGTGTTAACTGGACCTTTTGAGAAAAAAGATCAGTTTTATAGCCTTCGAGGGTCCTGTTAACCTTCCTCTCAGGACAGTGCCTTCTCACTCTTTCTTGCAGATCATTTTGAACTCCATGCACAAGTACCAGCCAAGGGTCCACATTATTAAGAAGAAGGATCACACAGCTTCTTTGCTAAATCTGAAGTCGGAAGAGTTCAGGACATTTATCTTTCCAGAGACAGTTTTTACAGCTGTTACCGCCTACCAGAATCAATTGGTGAGTACGGTTGCTAATTTCCACGGATTTAACTAAATCCCACCCTGCTGAAAACTCCCTTTTCACCGATCTAAACTAGGAAAATTTCTGATATAACCTACCTTTCCATGCCAAGGTCTTTAGTGACCTTGCCCAACCTAATTCATATTCAGGAGTAATTCTTTACGTATATGGGTAGTAGTACTAACTTCAAAGGGCCGTAAGGATTATTCATGGGAGTAAAGGTGACATGAAAGAGGCTTTAACTTGTCTTCCCTTCTGTCTATACAAAGCTGTTTGCATATTATCATTTAGTCTCTTTCTTATTATAGCTCATTAAGGAACTGTTCTTATTTGCAGTGATCTTTCACGCCACGAGCTATTAGCTGAGAGAGATTCTGGTTTGCACATGATGATTTCATGGGCTTAAAAAGTTGATTAATTAAGCTGTAAGGCTCAAACGTAAGGGAAATCACTCAGAGATATGCTTTTCAGAGGCTGCCCAGATTACATCCAGATGTTTGAATTTCAATTTGCATGCCAGTGAATAATATATACAAAATGGAGGAGATCATAACAATGGATTGCTAATGAGTAATTTTAGGAAGTATATAAACAATCGGAGAGCAGAGGTTCTGCTTGATGGTGGATAGGGCTTTAATATTTAAGTCAGCGGAAATATGTTGTTGGCTTCAGTGTGATTCAGAGTGTGCTTTAAGGGCTTAATGACTATAGCACTTTAAAAAAAAAACAAAAAAACAAAACAAAACTCTCTCCCTCTACTGTCCAAACATGTGGGCAGGCAGCATCACAGAGTCTGTGTACCTGCTGGATTATTTAAAGAAGTCTGCATTTCTTAATATGAAGCAAAATTAATTAATTTCTAGATGCTATGAATAAAATGAAACTACTGCATAGGGGGCCAAAGAAGCTCTGAAGAGAATAGTAGTAGTATTAAGCTGGTCCTTTGACAGACCCCACATCCCGCTTTAAGGCTTTAATATCAGAATGTATTGATTTTAAACCCAGGTTTGTATCTCAGTGCTGCAGAAAATGCATTCAGCACCTGGCAATCTCAAGAATATAATGTTTGGACAGGCGGTTAGATTTTTCCACTTAACTTTCTGTAGAAACCAGCAAAATAGTAACAGGCACAAAACCAGCTAAACCTGGAATTTGTTTCTGTAGGATGGATTTGTGTTTACCGACGATATTTACACCAGAGATGTTTCTAAACTAACCTTCCCAAAGCACATACATTGAGTCCTGGAAAATTTCTCAATGGAACATCTCCGGAACCCCTAGAGGTTGATGCTGTCATTTTATTTATGACTAATGAAAATGGAGCCTTTTTTCATTTTTGCCATTTCTTTCAGAACTGTTTTAAGGAGGGGTTGATTACATTTCTGGAGGTTATTAGATAAAAGCTAAATACATTACACTTTCAACAAACTATCTCATAATTTAAGATTTAAAGGGCATGCATTTATTTAAACAGTCAAACCACTGCCACAGAGTTGAATTGTAGGTCAGATTTCATTTTAAAATGCTTTCTAGCAGATGTTCTCTAATTGTTTGTGAGACAGTCTCTCAGGAAAAATATGGCCATAAATGATTGAGTCTCATCTGGCTTCGGTGGATACAAAAAGTTTCTTTTGTGATGTCATACCAAATCTTTAATATTAGGAAAATGGAAGTTTGATTGGTGAAAATGCGCTCAAGAGATGAATAGACGTCCTTATTACTCTGCAGTGCAGTTGGCTCGGTGCGTTGGTGATCTAAGTCGATGGAACTAGTTAGAGCTCATCTTTTTTCAAGGTAGTTTTCAAAATGCTGCCATAAATATGTTTGCTGGACGTGAGGCACTAACCCGCCGCTCTCTGCAACATCACCATGAGTCGAGGGCTTATGGATATCTTGGGAGTAGGATGAGACTATAACTAACTTGCTGAGCTCTTGCAAGGTCCTGTGACAAGGCTGGTGTTCAGGGTAGTTTCCACCACTTGTACCTGCGTGATGAGACAGCCTCAAACCCTCAGCCAGTGCTGAGGTCCCGTGTTGTTTGACCAGCCCGTGGGAACAACCGGTGACCTGCAGTACCTCCTATGTAGTGCCCCAAAGCAAGGACCTTCCCCAGAGAACTTGCCCCTGTATGGACCCAGAATGCCAGGCAGGGAAGGCGGCAGCCCAGGGGTGCAGTGGGTTTTCCGGGGTGGCAGAGCAGGTGGGTGGCAGCCACAGGAGCAGCCGCTCAGCACATCGTTCACATACTGCAGACCAGTAATTAAATACTCAGGTTTTGTCTTTGTAAGCCTGTCCCTCCCTCTCTGTGTTTCCCTCCCAGAAGACCTCTTTCTCAGAATGAAAAGTTGGATTCAGTTGTCCTCTTTTTTTTTTTTTTTTAAATTTTGGGGGAGAAGCCACCCCATTTTGAAATACCTTTGTTTGAGACCATCTGATTGTTTGAGGATTTGGGAAATATCCCTCTTCCTTCTGAGTCTCGAGGACACGCTGTTAAAAATGAGGTTGTGGCCTATGCAATACAGGCTTTTTTTTGAGGAAAGCCAGGCTGACATAGCCACTCAGTATGAAATGCTGAGAGCTGTTGATTTTCATGGGCTTCAGCTAGAGTTGGTGGCATTCACTGCCTTGCAGGACAGGTCCTGTGCTGGCCCTTGTCAAGCTCCAACTCCCACTTACAGCTTTATTTTTAATTCTTGGAAGAAGTATGGCTGGAAAAATCTGAATATTATGATGATGTCTCAGATTTTATTCACCAAATCTCATTTTGTTGGACAGCTAGAAAATTTCACAAGGGCGATGGTGTATTTTTCTCCTGCTTCCAAAAAGCCACAGTGGAAGCCACCACCTATGCCTGAAAAGTTTGACTGCAAAGTTAAGGGGGACCCTGATGCTTTGAGGCAGAACGACAACTGATCAGTGGGTGACTCTGGCTGAATGCAACGGCTGACAGGATGCACTGGGCAGGTTTGTAGCTGCATTTGAAGAAGGGAGGAGAGTTTTGGTTGCAAGACCTCTGTTTTTCCAGGACTGTGATGGTTTTAATGGGGTTACTCCTTTAACCCAGGCTTTGTCACTTTAAATCTGAGTTGTCCCTACATTTTTCCTCCCTCCTTCCCTTCCTCAGCCTCTTTCCATGCAAAAACAGTTAAACTGCTCCTCTGTGATGGCTGGTAGGTCTGGCTGAGAACATTTGCATTGCAGTGAAGAAATAAAAAAAAAAGGTGGGGCTGAATTGAAGCAACGTCTTCAGGTTTGCAGGAGGTGGCTGCTAGTTTGGGTTCACAGTAGCTGATGTGCAGCTCTACCAACGAGGGTCAGATGTTAGCAGGATGCTGTGCATTGCTCACGGAAAAGACAAGCTGATTCATGCTGTTAAAGTATTTGGAAGCAGTAATGTTGTACGTGAGTGGGTTCCTCCTGCGCTGGGTAACATGAAGGCTGAGCCCACTGTGCCCTTCGGTCTTTCCATTGCCATATGTGTAATACACGCCGGTTTGCCTCCCCAGCTTTGCAGCATCTCAAGAGCAGTGTGCACACACACACGAGAAGCACGGATAAAATTAGCAGTGAAGTCAGGAGGATGGATTGGTTAACACTTTGTACGCTGCAATACCTTAACACTACATTCATGTTGTGTTGCTCTTTTCTGTGTTTCCAGATAACCAAGTTGAAAATTGACAGCAACCCTTTTGCTAAAGGATTCCGGGACTCTTCCAGACTCACTGATATTGAGAGGTAATGGGGACTTTCTGTTTACTTTCCATGCAGATAAGATAAAGAGAAGAGAGAGTTTGTAGGAAAAGCATCCTTTCAACTCCTGAGAAGCTGTGCATTTTAATGTTATCTTCTTGCATATAGTAAGCTTCCTCCACCTCTTTTAAAAATACTTATAAACTTTATGAAGAAAGAGCTGTTTTGAGTTTTGACATCTGTTCCAGTTAGGGCCGATATATTAATCTTCCTGAGGGGGCTTCTTGTAAAGGGGGAGAGGGTCAGTTTTACAACTATAGAATGAAAAGCTTTTTTCTTATCATGCCATTTAATCCTATTGAGGGCTGTGAATTGGGTCACTCGGAAACAAGGGCAGTGGTCCTGTGAACAACATCTTTATAGCTCCCCACTGCTCCACACAGTGGAAAAGAGAGAGGGGAGCTTCCCAAAATACACTTCAGCAGTCCCAGACACTGAAGGCAGCAATTGTTGCCATCAGGACAAATCCCATAACTCCCACTCTGATGACAAAGATGCCATTTTTGTTTCACCAAAATTGTACTGCAGGCTGCATCAGGGGAAACCTTTATCTGGAAACTGTTCAGTTTTGTGTGTGTACAGCTCATTATAAGCAACTGCTGCCACAGGGACAGAAGCATTAACCCACGGTTGTGTAGGAAATAAACTTCAATCTCTTGGTAGCTCTCCAGCGCGTTACATTTTTATGATATCGTATCTAATAGTTTGGCAAATGAAGCAAATTAAGCTGCCTGCGTCCTTTAGGCTGGAAGAGAACGCAATGGAGATAGATATAGGACATCCAAATTTTCCCATGAGCACATAATCATGAAAGAAAGCTTGGAGAGGCCAAAACCCTCTAGGCTCCTATGTGGGGATATCCAGATGTATCTGTGAATCATCTTTCACGGGTGCATATAGGGGACAAACTGGTCAATGAAGTCATATCCATATAGCTAGAGAAAGTCTTTACAGCATTTCAAAAGTACATCAATCTAAGCAGATCCATGGCTGGGAAATAGTGGTATATTTTATACCTTACTAGTGACTGGAACGTTAGTGATCCGCTGAGTAATTGGGTGAAAGAACAGTAACCTGGGAAAGCAAGCTTGTAGACTGCAGTGCGCACTTGCAAAGTTGTTAAAAATTGCTTCCTAAGTGAAAGTCTTAGTTGAAAATGGGAAAAAAACAAAGCAGATTTAATTAAAATAGCATAGCCTACTGTATTGACAGAGTACTAAGGTAAACAACATCCAAAGCTCAGGTTTGTGTGCAGTAAGTCGTCAAGAAAGGACCTGTAGGAAGAGAAGAGACTTTTCATTTCTCACATTTCAGTTTCCTTGTTTTACAGACAGGCGATATCTAATGACACAGCTCTGCAAGGGCTGAGAGAGTCTGAATAGATAAGCTGGGAGAAAAACTTAGTTACCTCTGTGCAGATGAACCAACTATCACGGTGCTGGATATGAAGGGAATTTTTCCAGAGGACATCTTATTATAACAGCACATGGCATGGAGTCAGAAATGCTGAGCATAAACCGCAGTGCCCTTTTGTTTATTGATAAGTGTAAGAATAGAGACTGAGACAGGCAGCTTAGCCCAGGCATGAAAGATAAGGTAGCCAAATGTGAAACCTACAATAAATACAAGAAACGGAATGTGAAAGGTATTGAAATGACATCAAAGCTCTGGATTTGAGAATCCAAGTTTGGGTAAGGTCTTATTTTGACTTAAATGGGAAAGCTTAGCCCTGATCAGGGAACAACAGTATTAAAACAAAACAAAACCTGCTGCACAACACATCAGGTAATGAGATAGTAAAAGTATAACAGACAAGAAGGCTGGTAAGAGACACTGAGAATTTCCTAAGTTATCTGATATGGCCCAGAAATACCAAGGGTTTTTTTCAGTTCCAGCATCAAAATATTCAGGCAGATGGGAATGTCATTCTCTGAGTGCCCGTTGGTTCTATAGATTTCATCTTAGTGCCAGCAAAATTGCTTAAAGAAATCTGATATAAAGCAAAAGAAATAGCAGAGTGAGATGCGACAACAGGCAGAGTTTCTTGCTTGGTGTCCATCGCGACGTGCATTGCAAGATTTAGGTGATACGTTGAATAGCACAGCATGACTCTTGCTCGGTCTAGTTGGAAACTTAGTTATTCCTGTAAGATCACTGTCTGAGAAAAACATTTATTTGCCAGGGGAAAGGCTATGCAGGCCAAATGCATATCTGCACAGCTCTTGAAAACTGAATATTTATCTAGAAGCTGTGAAAATACCTTCCATGCACTGCTTTCTAAGCAGGCCTGCGTACCACACGTGCATGCATAATCTGCAGTGCTGTGCGGTGATCCTGATGGTCTCCTGTAAAGCACCCTGTGATGTTAGGGCCAAGGGAGCACTCATTTATCGCGAGTTCCAGCTTTTCCAAATGACCTAAGTAGTGTGAAAGTGTACAGAGCTTTGTATTTCATTTCCAGGTATTTAAGCCTGCTTTTTCCTAAACAGCCTTTGGGGAGGGAAACAATCAGATCAATTGATCTTTAGAGACCTAAAGAAATTAAATTAGTCTGGAGTCAGTTACTGCACTAAACCATCCAGTAATTGGATTGCTCCTTGTAACTGATTGAAAACAGCCTCTATCTGTAACAATATAGGGAGCTTTTCTTTATAGTAGATCTGAGAGAAAAACACATCTTTTTATGACATGATGACAGAAATTGCACTTTTTTAACCTAATTGAATATGATTTTATAAATACATGACTTTAACGATTTCAGGCTTCCCATTCTAGATTTACGATCCCTGTGTAGGAAATTCAAGCTGCAAATGCCTTTAGGATTAAATCTGTTTGCATTATATGTGTTGGAGTTAAAATAATATATGTAAAGGTAGTGAAATTTGCAAAACGGTGGAGGAGGTAGGCACAACAAAGCTATTGAAGTGCCTGTGTTTTCTTTTGTTCCTGCCTAAATACCTTACAATGGTTTCCTTATACTCATAGCTATCTATGCAAAGATTTTAACCACTGGAAAAAAAATCTGAGTTTAGTATATACCGAATTTTCAGTAGGATGTGAGATTCTTTCCACAACCAACTCTTTCCATATATTACCTGTGGTAATCTATGATAATGGGGCAGACTTTATCAGGGGCTACTGTGATTTAGATAAGTTGCTGATTCACCTTTTGATCTTTTTATGTGGTATTTACGTTTCCTCTATTATAAAAAGGCTCCCACAGTGGTTGTAATTGAAAAACTGAACATTTAGCAGAAATTGTCAGAATGCGGAGCTTAACGTACTGTGGTGTTGGCTACGGGATGCGAATGCAGTAATGTGGATGAGTGTGATCTTTTTTTAAATGGTAACCTTTGTGAAAAAGACTAATGCAGGTTTTATGAGCAATTCACTGTGGAGATAGGCTTTAAGGGAATATCTTTATGCTTCTGTTTAAGAAAAAACTGCCAAAGCCATGAAGGATGCAAAATCAGAACACAACACATTAATTTTTTTATCTTGAGCCTGAATTTATCTTTTGAGTTCTTGTGAGGAATTAGCCTTTTAAAAATAAATAGATAAATACAACAATTGGAATTAAATATCATGCAAACAATACAGTGAAAAAGGTGATCGTTTCAAGAGTGTGAGTCAACGGAACTACTGAATTGTAAAATAATGATCAAACAAGAATTGACAGATCATAATCATGATCTGAACATTGCTTGTCTATTTGATCCAGCATGTGATAGGCAAGTTCAGGGTGTGGACTTGCAACTATTAAAGAGAGCTAAGCGAGTATACCCATCTGCACAAGTCCAATAACGCTTCTGGGAGGTAGATACATACTTCAAGAGGCAATATCTTAGGTAATGGAAAAGTATGGCTGCACACCCAATTAATTTTTAGGCAGAGAAAGGAAGGATTGGGGGATGGGGGAAGGAAGTAAGAGAGCTGCATCCCAGCATCCCAGCTGGATTTGCTTGGTAATCAGATTCTGAATTTTCCCCTGAGGAACTTCATGACTGAGATGTGGAAATATATTGTACTGGCTTACAAGGCTGTAAGCAAAATGGATGCTAATGCCCGGATATGGGCACTGCCCTGTTGAAGTAGCAGTCAAAGCCATGTGCTTAATGATGTGCTGTCCACAGCAGTCCTCTTTTGCATCCCTTCCCTGCTCACCCCACAGAGCTGCCTTCTTCCCCATTCCTACTTCTTACTGCTGATCTAGAACTTCCCTGACTCTTGAAAGCACCCTACCAACAGCCAGAAATATATTCTCTCTACGACCTACTCCCATGTTGATGGTTAAGTAGGGCTTTGTCATAGTTCTCCTCCAACAAGTCAAACTCACCAGCTGATCTTTTACCCGCAGCTAGTTCTCAGTCTGTGAATGTTGGCAACCAGCCATGGGAGATCATCTCTGATGTTTAGGTTGGGAGAAGTGAAGTCATGAGTTTAGGGAGAAACACCAGGGACTCCGGTGCCTAAACGCTTGGTATCTGGTGCCATTCCAGATGTGGTCAGGTTACTCCAGCCTCCAGCTGCTGCTCTGGGGGGTAGGTGGAATGTCTATATTTTTCTGTATCATCCCTTCTGTTGCAGATGGCTTGGATGTCTTAAGACATCTAGAAAGCACTACCTGCCTACATTTAGACACCTGAAGCATTCCCTTCAAATCTGGTTCCTCCAACTCTGCTCACTGTTAGCCAGGCAACTGTTCCTTTTCCCCGGCAGAGTGCCCTCCCTGCCAGCTAAAATCTCTTCAGTGCCCAAGCTGAAAAGTGCAAGCACTTAAAAAAGTGCTCATACCCTGGCTCATTTTCCACTTAGGTATTCTGTTATCTATCTTTTTACTTGTGCAGAACGGCATAAAAATGTTTCATTTTGCTAGTGTTTTCCACTCACCTCATGCAGGTGTAGTGTGTGCATAAGGGGAGGGGGTGATGTCAGATCAGACCCCCGGGTTCCACCCCAGAGGAATTTTTCCAGGGACTTCCCCC